ATGGGGACTTAGCGTTAAACGGAGGAGGTGATCCTAATTGTACAGTCGCCAAAATAAACCTGTTGAAGGCATCTTAACCCATTTATCATACAACAGCGTATCAACGCAGTACAAAAGCATGATGTCATCCCCTAAAAATCTGGTAGTGTCGGTGTAGTCGATTACAAGTAAGTTCACAGGCCTGATCGTGAATCTTAAACTTGCGTTTGATCCGTCCTGTTGCTCTCCTCAACCGGTTTGTTTCTGAGGACGGAGGGGGTGAATGAGGGCAGCCTACACGGTGAAGCATATGCTGTCGGCTGTATGTGCAGCGCCCCCGCGGCTACTTCAGCCAACACTGCTGCACGCGCTGTAGTTCTGGACCGCGGCTGTCTCCAAAAATCCCTCTAAGCTGCTGCGGTCCGCTGCATGCAGCCCATCATCGCCCCCCCCCCCCACACACACAAATACCCCACCCTAAACCAATCACCTATCCTATATAACACACAACGATGCAACTCAACTTCATGACACACTCTCGGTGTGAAAACGCGGGTGGCATATCCTGCGCTCAACTTCACACCACATCACTCCTCAATGTGACAACCACTGCAACGTCACCGAAATTAAGTCATAAACAGGCAATAATATAGGTTAATATTTACCAGCTTGCTACAGTGCGGGCGCTGCAGCCTTTTATCCCGTAGCGAAAGGGCCAGAAGTCCGCATTTCCTGGATTGCGATGCGCTGGATAGAGTTGCTCTCGGTGCCCGCGTTTCTGCGGAGGGAGGGCCGGAGGGGCTCGGGGTGCTTCCCACTGTTGTGTCAGACCGGACAGCGATGCCACATTCAGCTGATCGCCACAACAAAACAACATCTCGCCCTACGCAAAACAACACTCCGCGGCTCAGCACCACCCCGCACGGCAGGTCCAGTGGGCGCCGCCCGCCTCTCAGCCTCCACCAGTGGGCTGGCGCGTCGAGCCCGCCTCATGAATAAACATGAGGTCGCAGAGGCAGCCATTGGGTGAAAGGCGCAGTTCCTGGTTAATGCTATTAATTCTAATTAGCCAGGCACCCTTATGCAGTCGCTTTCAGGAGAGTTTTGTAGAGACTGAATAATCACGCACACTCTGATCTGATCTGGTTTACATCAGATTCCTCTCTGACCCAGCAGAAGTATTAACCTCCGCAGACTTATAGGTCGCCAACGCACACCTTCCTGCTATAGGCTACCGCAAGAATGAATAGCCTCCCTAAAGTGATGCTGAGACTGCATCACACACAGGAGAGATATAATAGAGGTCAGGATCCGAGACCACAAATCAATTAACTCCTCCTGGATGACTGAATGAGCTGTCAAAGGGTCACAGGCAGCGTTTTGCAATCCTATGCACACATATCTCAGTACTTAGAGTGAATTTCCTGCTAATCTGATGAACCCGTCTGTTTGCCTCCCCTCATTCCTCAGGGACCAAGTGTGTGTGTGGGGAGGGGAGCGGGCAGGTCACCGCAGTAAAGGTTACCGAGGGGAGCAGTCCTAGTGGCAGTGACTGCTGCACGCCTTGGTATCCTGGAGATCAAATGAGGCTCTGAAAAGGCCAGTGGACATCAGAGCTCATCATCTTTTCACCTGACTCACATCAATGTCATGGTGCACAGGAATTGTGATTTCAAAAAAATCAAGACATCCAGCAGGTGAATTAGGCCACATGCTCCATGATGTCAACAGTGGGGGAGAAGCTGGTGCAGAATTAGAAACATTTCGTCCTCTCTGCGTGTGAGCGCACAGTCAGTCCCGCTCTTTTGTCTCTCACATTTCCAGAGCTGTCTGTGCATCTGCATCCAGCGTGCTAACTCTTTTGAGTAGAGCTCCGCAGCGCAGAGGAAAGGGGAAGGAAGGGAAGGAGGGAGGGAGGGTGTGGAGAGGGGTAGAAGAAAAAGAGGAGAGGATAGGGGAGCGCAAAAAAAGACAGTGGGAGGAAATGAGAGACAGAGCAGGAGACGCAGGAGGGAGAGCAGGGACACGCTGTGGTGTGAGCGCTCCGTACTGCTACAATATGACTCTGACAGGCTTATGTAACCAGACTGGCCTGGCATTTGGCTCACAGCAGACGCCGGCTGCTCTGACTGTTATATAACTGCATTAGCTGCTCCTCTGAGCCGGGGGAGAGCATGCGCACAGGAGAGACCCATGCGCACACACACATACACACACACACACACTCAGACTTTTTAGACTTCCAACCAGAGGACTGAGTGACTGTATCGCACTGCGGCCACGAGTGAGAGAATGCAAGCGATCGAACAAAATGAGAGAATAAATAAAACTGACCCTGAAAGTCCAGCAATTGATTACAAACAGGCAGATCTTTTAGTGTCCACAATTTACACGATGGAGAGAATCTACGCAGTGAGTCTGACAGGCATCAGCATTTCCACTTCCCATCATCCAGCAACAAGTTTCCCATCCTGAAAAGCCTAACTGGGGCTTAATGTTGGGTAAATGTTTCCAGTGCTCATGCAGTATGCCAGCAGGGCTTAAACTCAATTAGCTCCCCTGCACGCAGCACATAATTTAATGGGCCTGGATCCCACTCTTAAAACCCAATTACACCTCAGACAGGCATTTCCAGTCACTCTGTCAAAGAAGTGGTCAGGGAGGCACACTCCTGTCACAAAACAAAAGCTCACCCAGGTCAGCACCAGGAGCAGTCCTACTATTCACGGTTCATTTGTTTTAATAACAAAACACTGAAACAAAGCCGACATCTGCAGATGATCTATGTGTTCCACCGCGGAGAATGCCCTTATTCCTGACAAGTGAATGCAAAGTGCATCTAAACGCTGACATTTCCAAACTAATGTGGGAAAGCTGAAGTGAAGATTAAGGTCAGGGATAACACTGCGTGATAACCATTGTTTCAGTCAATCTGCAATTAAAAATCCCAGGGTACCTAACCAAGCGTGGCTGCTGAGCTACACTAAGTGGTTCATAATCAGCACATTACAGCTTCTGATCTCTTATTACAGCGACAAATTGCGTCTGATGATAACGGAGGAAATGAAGGTGGGATTTATGACACTGGAGCCAATGGCCAAAGACAGAGAGTGTCTTAAATCTGTCCTAGGAGAAAAACCGAGTTCACATTTGTGCACCTGATGATAGCAGGGGAAATAAAAATGCGATTTATGACACTTGGCTAATTTGTTCTCACATGCTGTTGGCTGTGTTCAGAGGCTGTTAAATTTCAGATGGGACTAATGGAAGAGTGTAGTGCAAAGAGTTCTTTAGTCTGACGAAACTCTTGATTTTATATGCATCAATCACTGACAGAAATGAAAGAATGTTCTTTAGAGTGAGATAATGTCAAGACTTGGAGCTTCTGTCCCTGCTGCTGCAGCAGTTGTTGGATATCGGTGTGTTTTGTTTCCAATCATATTTAATCACATTAGTTGTGAGGTCCTAATTACAACCTTTTAAAATACTATTTACTTCAATGTCCACTATGCTGAATATGGAATGGCTTACACACACACGTGCTGAGATATTTTTATTTTCCATGAGCAAATTACAGGTATTAGCACTTTATATTCCCTCACACAATTTTTAACACTGCTCACTGTTTTAATTTTTATTATTTATGTTTTCTTTACTCTCTCGTGCTTGTTTTTTTACATTTACAGTTGTGTGCTGTTGTTCTCCCTGCAGTGCCGGGGAAAGTCTTTGTTTCCTCCACAACACGTAAGGGAAGTGAGACTTCATTCTTACAACTAAATTGTGACACATCCTCATCCATCAGCTCAAGGTTGTCATGGATAGGCTGAGCGAGGGGTGGCGTTGTGGAAGTCGACAGGAGGTAGTGTCCCGAACTGTTTCAGACAGTGCCAATTGGATCGAGTGACTGTAGCAGCCAAAACCAACAGGCTCCGTCTGCCAGCCAGGCAAGAAGGAAATAACACAGCAGAGGCTGCAAGCACTGGCACACACTGCTCTATCTTTGTACCAGCACAAAGCACAGGTCACATTTTCTGCTTCAATTTACAGTTAGGCTTAAGAGGTGACATCTGGTCAGAGCTATAATTATTATTTACTGGATACACAAGTCATGCGCTTTCAGTTTGGCTTTAGACTTCTGTCGCAGGAAGCTAAACTCAGCAAAGGATCAAGACATTAGTGGCTGATGTGAATGTGTCCTCAGTTACACAACTGTTGGAGAGACAAACCATGTTAACAGTTTAAGCAGCAAACAGGGAACCCCAGCAGGGGACATGGCAGGGTAAGGCCAACTGATGATGACAATCCATCAGACATAAAGTGCTTGCACTGAAGCGATGTGTCAGGCATACCGTTTGCTTGTTTTTAGAGTGTCATCTATCACGATACTTCACCCAGAGTACAGAACATGCTGTGATATGGGTATTAGCCCCTCCTTAGCCCCCAACTCATACCTCATGACCAATCTACGGGCTGATGTACAGAAACGATCACAGAGCCTGCACCCTGGTGACCCATTAGAGATAGGGAGGTGTTATGTACCATGAGTAACATCTATGGGGCACCTAAATCACCCCAAGAATTAATATATTACCTTACCGGTAATTATTGTACCTCAGTAAATAAGTAAAACAATAATCAAGTGTAACCACAAACTGGCTCACATCCTGCTTTTATCAAATATTTAGTAGTATTTAGTAGTTTTTACACTCCCATCTTCACAGCATGCTGAAAACGGTTGATTTTACTCAGTTTTTCTATTTCAGAATCAGAATCAGTTTTATTGCCAGGTATGTGTAGGCCTAAACATACGAGGAATTTAACTCATTGCTACATTGCTCACGATGTGCTTACTTATACAATAATAAAATAATAATAATAAAATCAGACAAACTACAGAGTAGACAACACTAATATACACACTACGAACAAAACAAAATAGACATATTGACAAATAGTGCATTTGATCTTTTTCATGGGCCACACGTGTAAAGCTTCTATGGAGCCTCCATCAACACAAAGAGTGAGAGACAAGAGTTCTATCTTTATTAAAAACAGTGTTTTTACATAAATTACAATTTTAATTCCTGTCATAGACCTTTGCCTTACTGGCATGCAATGACTGACTCAAAACAATAAAGGAAAGGCATAATAAGCACACATCAGTATTAGTGTCAAATTCTTTTTAGAACACAGGACCACAAAAAGGCACTTTTGAAATAGTGTTTTGAATAGTACATGTTATGATCCAACACTGGCAATTTTACCTAAATAATCTCTTAGTAGGGGGATAATGGTAAAATGTACAATACATTTGACATGTTTGATGAATAAAAAATATTAAAAAAAAAAAACATTTCCAACTTCTCACATTCACTATACTCATATGCAGCGTAACAGGAAATCTGATTCATAAGTGTGGGCATTGCAAGGTTTGAAACATAGGATTGTACCAAACTCACTATACAAAATATAAATGGTCTTACTTTAAGTCATTCTATTCATATTGAAATTTGAGGTAACTAATATATAATGCAAAATTCAGTACCATCATTACATCAACACACTATGAAAGTCAATACCATTTAACTGCATTTTACAATTACTGAAATGCGTCATTATTGTTTTGTACACAATTAAAAATCCCCCTCTTTTTTACTGAACACCCTCTGCAACATTCTGGAAAACAATGGCATTTGTCAGAGGACAGGTAGTGTGGAGTTAACGCATTCGCCTCCTGAAATGCGCACCACTACACATCGCATGATGCTGACTGCTATGAATCAATAAATGTCTCCCTGCTGCAAATAGACTGCCATACAGATACAGAATGTCGCCCGTGGCTGTACAAGGCCAAACACAGTCAGACATGGAAAAGGCATAGCACCGGAGATAAATGTTACCCTATGTTGGGAACAGACGAGGAAGTGCTGAGATTAGACTCGTGGTCTATCAGGACTCTCTGGCTCAAGGAGTAATGACATGGATTTGCATACAGCCAAGCAGCAAAAGGGAAGCCCTGTTATGATCTGTAGGGTGTGTCATATTAGTCTTATCTAACTCTCACACTCACCTCACTCTGGGGCTCCTAAGAAGGGTTCTCCTCGTTGCCCCCAGCACTTAAAACAGTCCAGCTAATCAGGGGGATTCCAGACCTGGCCAATCAGAGAAGCTTGATGACACAGGCTTTCAAAAGGAGATCTGTAACGGAAATGTCTGAGGTATTGAGAAAGTGCCTTGTTGCTTAGCCTTTGTGATATACCAGCATCAAAAATTCAGCAAAATCATAATGGAGCTCATACAGTCATATCACACCAACATCAGGGGGATGGATGGGAGTTGCCTATCAAGGTCAGGCTAATTATTAAAAAAATCCACTTACACTTTCAAAAGTCTGTAGTTATTATCACACCAAACAATCATACTGAGAAGAGTAAAACAACAGAAACACAATAACAGCAGAGAGATTAAAAAAAGAATACAAAGAAATGAAACATATTTCCTTTATATTATCCTTCCTATATACTCCTTCACACTGCCTAGTACACTAGGCAAGAAAACAAAACAACCAAATACAGCTCAAAGACAAGGCGTGCTCAGTTGAAATCCCTGTCAGGGAATATGAGAGGGGCGATGAGGGTCCAGAGGTAGAGCCCGAGGCCCAACCAGCTGGAGCTCATCTTCACCCACACAGCTGGCATAGTGCTCTGCATGGTCTGCGTGGTCAACCCTGGTCTGAAGGGAGGACACAGAGGGAAAAGTACAATTAAGTAAAACCAACTCCACATAACACATGTACTGAAACTTATATACAGATATTATTCCACATTTGGTCCATGAATTATTAACATGATGAATTAATGATTTTTGAAAATGACATACAATCTGTGGTCAAAGAATGGATACCTTTTGGGTGAAGTAATGTGCCCTCTGGTGGCCACATTGAAGGCCTACAACGCGTGTGCAACAGCTACTGAAAGCTACTGATTTCAAAGCATTTGGCCGTCTCAGAACTGATAATTTTGTCAGAGATATCAGTAGAATTGCGTTTAGATGCTGTCAGTTTGTAGACAACACAGGAAAGATTCTATGATTAAATTCACACCAGGACGTTATGCTATTCAACCACAGTCTTGTGCGTTTATCATGCTCCACTCACAGGCCAAACAGACCTTTTTCACGGTAGACATTTTAATTTGTCATGGCAACAAAGCACACTCAAAACAAATTCTGTTAATGATGGCATCAAGGTTTGCGGTAAGCCATGCCAGCAAGCCAGCATGCACAGTTCCAGGAGCCTGGACTAGGGCTGGATCATTTCACCTAAAACAAAATGACGATTAACTGAACATCGATTCACCTCGATTACGATTATTGAATGAATATTTTGTTTTGAACATATTTCACTGACAAGGTTTGTACTTTAAATATGCTCGACTATTAAAACTGAGTTTATTTATTCACACATTTCACTAATCCATTAGGCTATCTAAATGTTATTTAATAAGGTAATGTTGATGTGCCCATTACAGAGACATGGTTCCCCTATATGCGGGGATCACTGCTGCTGAATTATGACCGCTGCAACTCACTCAATTATTTACTATCAATGTGGAACAAATTATTTTCACCTGCACACTGTGTGAGCATGGTAAATCACGCTTTGGTAGCTTACTCTCCTCATTCATCAAAGGACATCTACGAGACAGGTGTTGTTATAAGAGCAGCAGAGTTAGATCTTTTAACTGCAGTCCATTGTGTTTGTGTAGCGAGTGAGTGGACGAGCAAATGAGAGGGAGCGAGGGGCAGAAACTGAAAGCGAGCGAGTAATAAGTTGTCAGTCTGCCCGTAAATGCACAGTGTAGGTCACAGTGTGTCCGTTATTAAAAGTCTCTCAGTTGTTTCCACAACTGTACATATCCCTGTGCTTCATACTCCGGTCTGAAGGCTGAGCAGGACTGGACGGGGCGGAGTCACACTACTACACACGCGGAAGGATGTTTTAAGGGGAAAACAACACACACATTATTAACAACAGGATTAATTAACCCGACATGGGAAAATTACATCGGTTAGAGGCTTTGAATTTTGGTTTCGATTACTTCTAAATTAATAGACCAGCCCTACCTGGAACTATTCCTTTGGGCCCCTTATGTTACATGTTTAACAATCTGTTGGCGAGAGATACTTACTGGTACCAGTTAGTCAGAGTCATCATGATGTACAGAGAGGCCAGACAGAGGTGGAAGTGGAAAAAGGAGTAGCTGTAAGTGACTCCCTCCTCCTCGTTGTCTATGGCCCTGCGTATGCCGTCCTCTCCCACCACGCCCTCTCCACCTGACCCGCTGCCCTCCTCTGTCTGCATCAACTTGTTCACTTGGGTGTTACTGGAGGAACGGATACTAGGGAAGAGACAGAGAGAGAAAGACAGTTCTACAATAATACAGATGATAAAAAAAACATACAATATCACTTTTTAAATGGTTTTGACACTGCTAAACCTACCTGGCGTAGAGAGTGCAGAAGAGGAAGATGATCAAACCGACGATGCCCTGAGCATCCCACAACTGCACCACTCCTGGGGTGCTGCCAGACGATTCAGTGGCGCTGACGTTTGACACTAGACTCAACAGGCTGGGGTTACAGTTTCGATCTAAGACATCAGGGCACACGCAGACAACATTATCACACTATAATGAAATGTACATCATCATACAGTGAGCCTGTTTACACTCCACCTCAACTGTAATGGAAATAATGGACTTTGTTTTGTTTTTATAGAAAAAAAACCATATCAACATAAAAATTTCATCTATTATTGATAATTATCACAATAAATGTCAAATCATTAATTCTTTCAAGTTTAAAGGCAGATTTTTTCTCCTGAGTGAAAGTTAAAGAAACCAGATGGTTGATTGTGGTATTAAACCTCAGAACAAACACTTGATGCCAAACAGTGGATCACTTCACCAATCTGAGATAAAACATTCAAAACAATTGAACGATTAAATCTTTTTTCCAAAACATATGCATGAGTAAAATTAAGTCAAATCTTTTTTCAGTCCCTGTGCTAATTTTTTCATGAATCAAATGAATTAAATCAAACATTTATTGAACATTTGTTATATTGTTATTAAAGGAAAATTATATTGTGGTGATCATCATTATTGTTTTATTGCCCAGCCCTACTTTCTTATGTAAATTAACTATAATTTTGGCACTGAATATCTGCAAACAACTTAAAAGGGGGTAAGATCAGTTGGCAACACATGTCTATCAATAACAAAGTGTACATGTTTTCCTGCCCATAAATACATTACTCTGCCTTACACTGAAATAAATGTGAAAACGCAGGTTTCCTCTGAACAGGGTTCCACCACACTAGTGTTTTCTTGAATTTCACTGCCAAAACCAAACAATAAGAAAAGTTTTTGCGCTATTGTATGTTTCTGTTGTATACTAAACTACTGTTTTTAACTGGTGCACTTGTCAGATATTCTCAGCCTCAGCACCTCCCAATGCCCCATCATTGCATTCTTTGCTGACGTCTCTACTTAACACACTCTCAAACACCTCAAAACATTCATATTATTAGCACTAATCATTGTCAAAAACGTCCTATTACTGAAATGGGAAGACAGAACCAAGTTATTCATATCCCATTGGCTCAGTCTACTCACAGACCACTCAAATCTAAATATAGGAAGAAAAACAAAACAAACCCCCAGCATCTCTGAAAAACAACATCACATCCTATGAAAACACCTGGTCCCCCTTCTTGCAGTACCTCCAGCACTGATTCCTTTTTCTCTTCACAAATGGCTCCTAATCTATGATTCATCAGTACTGTATTATTTTCTAAATTTATTTGGTTTAATTATCCATTTTTATTTTGCTTTAACAAATTTATAAGAAAATATTTTGTCCCATCAGCCTGGTTTGTCTGTTCCTGTCTTGTTTGTGTTTATGTGTATTGCGTACTGTGAATGAATAGGGGAAAAACTTGGTCCATATTGCGATATATTATAAGCATCTGTTGCCTATAATATCTAGAAAAGACAAAAGTACGTGCAGTGTGAACATAAGCGAAACTCAAAAGAAACAGTTCTGTAGGTTTGCATTTTGCAAATAAAGGTGAAATTCTGTGCGGGTAGGAGAGATGCCACTTTCAATGTTGGTGTAAACAATCACAGTCCCCACAAGCTTTCTTATTGCCATTCACTTGGGAAACGTAGATCACACAACAAGGAGGGTATGCTAACTATGAGCACAAAGCAGCTCTTTGTTCCTATAGCGTGCCATGGTAAACTCACCTGTATGATCAAAATGCTGCAGTAGATAATCAGCAAATACATGTGTTGAAAGAAAACAGTGAGTATGTATAATTGGAAATGAGCATGCAACCAAAAACTACAGGGGAGAGCCGCAGCACACAGGACACTCACCTGGATTGTTGGTCATTGCAGACCAAGTGACATACATGGTGTAGAGGGAGATGATCGAAGCCTGGAGCAAACCGGAGTATGGTTGGGCTTTCTGTAACAAATAGGACAAACAGACGCTAAATTAATTGGCCAAAATGTAACAACTGCATAATGTAAAATAATGTTAAGCTGCCTTGAACGTCACTGTATTTGAATGTCCTTCTACTAAAAACTCAGCTGAGATTGGAAAAAATTACTCAAATCAGTTTTTGGGGTGTTTGTTTCTCTCTTTTTTGTTGGCTTACTATGGAAGGAAAACCAAAATGGGAAAACTGTTTTCAAATCCGCATTAGTATGGACATGGCCTTTGACTGGTCAACACTGTACCTGTATCTTGGGTAGGATGGAGACAATGGAGATGATGACGCAGAAGATAAGGTTGAGGCTAATGAAGACCTTGTGCTCTGTGCAGTTGTCAGGCTGTGTGTAGTAAACGTAGAAAAGCACCACAGCAGTGAAAGCCAGGGCGTAGTGGAAGAAGGTAAAAGACAGCAGGCCTAGAAAATACATGATGATACATCAACGTGAATGGCTTAAAACCATTAGTATAATTGTGTTGCTGACTTGGGCAGCAGAGCCAATAGGTCTAATGGATTCAAATATTATGTCAAGTGTATAATTCATCATTTGGCAAATAAGTAGCTTAACGTGGCTTCCTTTCAAGTGAATGCTTCACCTGCAAACCAGCATTTGTTGTCACTATTTTCAGCATTTTCTACCCATGCCTTGTTCCAGGAGTGGGCAAAGTCGATGAGAAGAATAAGCTGGATTAGAATGAAGATGAAGGATCCTACCAGTCCGAAGTAAAACCACACTGTGAAGTGAAAAGGAAACAGACACAGCTGATACAATTTCCTGCCCGAGTCACTGACAAAACACAAAGTCATTGTGTGCTCAAGAAAAAGACAGTACAGTATATCACTATTTATTGTAATTCAACAGAGCATGTTATTACCAGTATTAAATGTTCCATCAGGGATGAAAAAAGCTCCCACTGTTATTCCAGTCAGGATCAGAAACTTAAAGAACCAGAACCTGGAAAAAAAAACATTTACAAACCCATCATCAGTACAGCAGACACCCAGTAGCAGCAAATGCAAATCTGCCTCCATCCCTCAACATATGTATTCCACATGAGCCCTATAAAGCGCCCACCCATTTTGAACAGCTGCACGTGGGTCTTTGCTGCTACGGACACGAATCATGATGGCGGAGAACAGAAAGAAGAAGCAGGTCATGGCAAAGCACATTCGGTACACAGACTTGTAGCCCACAATGACATCACAGTTAACTTGGTTTTCGACACCGGGTAAAGCAGTTCCTCCCTGGCACAATCCCGGGATCTGCAAAACAGCAGAAGTTCAGAAAAAACTAAATTTGTAATAAAGCTTGTCTAGAAAGTATTTAAAAGAAAGAATGTGGCAGAGTAAATGCAGGAAATCTTACATAACCCTGTAGACTAATTTAATAGCACTAAGATGAACAGAGATCTTACCTTACGGAGCTGTGCCTCCATTCCAGGAAGGATCATGATGACTGACACCATGGTCCCCAGCAGCAAAAAGAAAGAGAAAACCAGCCTGGTGATAGTGGAGTTATTGGAGGAGGGACAGCAGCCACACAGAAGGCATGGCGCTGAGCCACACAGACAGGATGCCTATGAGTTGAGAGGAGGATGGCAAAGGAGTGGGAGAAAATGAATAAAGTTAAAGTTTTAGGCTTGAATGTGCTTTGGCAGAACATTAGTCAAAAGTTTTGTTCCATTAGCTATACTGGGCTGGTACATTTTTATCGTGACAGTAAATTTCCAATTCTGGATCGAAGTGGATAAGCATCCCACATATCTCACACATGACTCAAAACAGCCGTGGTGATCCCAGTTTGTCAAGAAAAAAGGTGCCACCTGGCTTTTATGATCTCACAGAGAAAGACAAACAATCCGCCTTATTTAATCTGAAGATACTGTCAGTTACTTAGTTGGCTTATTTAAACTGTCAAAGCTAACGATAACTACTGTTGTTTCGACCCGATCAGGGACTTTTGTCCAACAAGAGAACTAACAGTAAGCCATGAAATACAAATTTGATGTGCCAATAACTACATAGCGTTAATTATTTAATCTAGTTGGGTCAAATGTGACTGAAGTTAGTGTACGTTAACTTAAATGGCCTGTTCTGACCACTAACTTAACGTTACCTCAGCCATTATTTGCCCTGCTGATTCACAATCTTGCTAAGCTAACTTCCTTCAAATGTATAGCGTTAGCTGTATGTCCAGTACAGCTAGCTAAGTATTTAATGTCAGTAACTAATTTTAACGTGTAGAAAATATAGTTTGAGCGTTTAGGTTGACTGTCACGTAGCGCTTAACGTTAACGTTACCTCCTTAGCTAACGTTAGTCCTACATGAGGAAGACCACAGTGAATTAACGCTAGTTTATAACGTTAGCTTTAAAGCTTTCCGTTAGTATCGAAGATAATATTTGTAGAGATTAGATACTTACACAGCTGGCTAAAGAGCACAAGGCCAAACAAGCCCCATTTTTGACAGGAGAACGCTGAAATTAAACGGTACTGTACAGCAGCCCTTCGCTTTCCTGTAACGTTACATCAAGTCTGATCAGAAGATAAACAGTCGGAAGTTGCTGGACTGCTTTTCAAAATAAAAGTCTTCACAGTTAACCAAGCTTTGAAACAAAAACAAGAGGCCACAATTTCGTCTGGCTGCCGCTAGTCTTACTCAACTACAAATTTTCTCTTTCTTCAAAATTTTTGCACGAGAACTTGCATTTGACATGGATGGCGTCTCACCTAAAACTACC